AAATTTTGATAAAAGTATGTATTTTTAACTTTGCTGTCTCACAATGTATTTTTATTTCATTCAAGGAGACCCGTCTCATTGTTTCTTTATTTTCTTAGTTTCTTCATGTTTTTCTTTTCAAAGATTTTCCATTTTCCATCTTCCTTGAAATTTTTCCCTAAAAAAATTCTCGGAGGACCCGGCCACCGATCTAGGTCAGTACGCAGAGACTGAAAGAAAAACAAATCATGGGCATAGCGCAGTTGCGCCATTTTTGGGGCGTCGGCCGTCAATTTGGGCGAAAAAGTTTCTCATGTCGAAATTTCAAACAAGAAACGGCGCTCGCTGAATTTTCCATGTTATGCAAGATGGAATTAGCCGGCAATTTCCGCAACCGAACAGGACGAGTTTGATGTGTTATTGGCAGAACTGGAAAACAAACAATGCGCCAGCGCTAATGGAGCGCCAGCTATGGATCTGCTAATTCCATTTCATTAAAACAGAAGTATAAGTCAGCAATTTTCATCAATTTTCGTTGTGAATTACGACCTGTAACTAAACTAAAATTACCTAACTTCATTACTAATTTTATAAAATTGACACTCTCTCTTAGGAAAGGTTAGGATTTTTCCTCTTCCTTCCGGAAATATCAGGAGTACCTAAGCATTGACAGTTTTGTAAACGCGCAGCACATTGTGTGCAGCGTTGTCAGATTTTTTAAATCTTGATTTTATGAATGTTTCATTTATTTAATATTTCATGGTACCTGCAAATTTTACTTTTCAACCTTCCTTCCTTACTTGTATCAATTGCGATACTTAAGTAAGCCCGATGGTTTTTGATTTCTTTAAACAACCATCAACTTACTAGAAATGGTGGTGTTAGGATGGAAATATTCACGAACGTATTGCTACAACAAAGAAACCCAGAACAGTTTTCGATTTTTTGTCTGGAAAACATTTTGTGGTGGAGAGGGCGCTACTGCCCCCGTTTATGAGTGGAAAGTAATTTCTACTAATAACTTGTGTTACTTTTAGGAATGAAACCTGATATAATTTTGGAAATTAATTTATTGTTATTTCTACTTGCTTTTACTCATATTACCGTTGGTATGGTCGGTAAATTATACTACTGATTTTTTTAAGTTTATTATTTATCATTATATTATTTTACATATGTATTTTACTAACCATATTACTAAATTTTAAAGTACCATGATGGTATTCTACAGTTGCGCTCCTAAAATTTTGGTATTGTCATATTTTTTCCTGAGAATGGGAAATTGTAGCGCAGTAGTCTAATCCTGTGTTTTTGGCAACGTTTCAGGAGTCCTACTCGCAGGGGGAGTTTCCTGATGCCATCCTAGAATACTCATCCCTGATGGGAAGACGCACTTACAGTCCACGCATCCTCAATGGTTCACACCTAAGTTGGCGCCCAAAACGCGAGAACTTTGACTTCGCTGTCCGTGGCAGGACACCAGCCGGCATTGGGGGCATTCTTCGTACCTGGCTCATCCTACCTCCACTTTCGGCGGGATCCGGGCATGCTTCTCTCAACTGATCGGCAGAGGCATCTAGACATCATCCGGGTATCCTGGGCGTTCGAGGGACATTCATTCAAGGTGCTGCAACCTTGCAGTAAGGCGACACGGCGACCTGGCAACCACGCATCATCACGACGCTACGAGGAGGTGACAGCGGATGGTGACAAACATTAACATTGGGCATTGCAAGGACTGGACGAGGAGCTTCTGAGTCAGCGGAATGTGTCGGACGGACACCGCATATGGAGATTTTTCCGAGAGACAGCAGTTTTCTTTGTAGTAGCTTAAGAACCGAAATCAGGGACTCGTGACCGTTCTTTAGTTATGATTTATTCTGAGTCGAATTTTTTTTTTAGTACCACGAGAAGCACCAGGTTAGAACTGCGGCGGAATGATTTCATAGTAATTTCGGGATTTTGTTACATGAGCAGAACGGCTATGAAACCTCTCAAACCAAAGTTCTGATCGGGTGCCGGCAAATATAAAATGTAGCCGCTTTATTTATAATTTTTTTGGGAAAAGTCATATTTTCTATTACCATTCAATTAATGTTTTTTTACGCTAGCCTTCTATTATTTATAGTTTTTTTTTAACCTACTTTTATTTTACTATTTTTTTACAACAAAACGCTGAAATTTGCTGCGCAGGGGCTTTTGCTTCGAAAGGGATGGTTAAATCATTTTTTTAATGGTTTTTTACTTAAGGTGGGATGGTGTAATGGTATGAGGCCATATCACTTACGTTTCTAAGGCCACATTCCATTATGCTTTCTAGCTCATTCGGTCCGAAAGCCATCAATTTCGCAAGTACAGGCTTGGGCGAGTATGTTGATGTTTAGAGCATCTATATTGTAGCGCCGATCATCTCGCGATCACGCCTCCGACATCATAGCTCGGTCAGACGTCACAAGACATATACTCTCGAGATTCGCGGCGCGTTATCGTATATCGAGGCAGCGAGTAGAGAGGTCACCTTAGCCAAGTGCATTCTATGTATACCGTGCTATCTTACCGATTATATTGATCAGTCTCTACCATTTGACTACCAGCGTTGGATCATTTCAACCCCCCCCCATTACAATATAACATAAACACCAGAGTTATTATACTTTTTAACATCTAAAACAATATTACTGGTGCCTAATTTTATGGAGAGGTTGATTTCGGTCTCGAAGCCAGGCTTATGTTAATTATGCCTTGAGAATATTCGACCAATTCTATCGCTAAAGGAGGGGTGGCGATTTGGGCCGTTTCTGGCCCCACCTAATCCGGGATGTTTTTTGCTGTGATTTGCTATGTATGAGTGTCGAGAGAAAGCATGTGGGGTTTCTGGTTTAAACCATACGTAAGCATTCCGCAAATGTCTGAATCCTGTATTTAAACAGGAATGAAATGCAAGAGCTCCTTCAGGGGCTTCGTCATTATGTGGCTAAAAAAGGCCTCGACTTTGATACCCTGGGTGTGTTTTCCACTAATGATTATTGGAATTTGACGGAGGTGACTGCAGAACAATTTGATTCTATTCTGAGTACTATTAAGTTACATTTAAATGACTTGCGCAATAGAGGTGCACGCACCGCCCTAGCTGTTCTTTTTGACCGAACTTAGGACAAGGTTATCTTACTCAGTCCTTTGTAGTATTTTTGCTCTAACAAAAGATACCGTAAAAAGATGTATTCTTTCCGTTTCCAATGCCTTACTGATCGAATTTGTGCCAAAACATCTTGGATTTGGACAATTGCCCGGGGATGAATTAATCGAAAAGCCTACTCGACCACTTGCTAGGTCTTTTTTTGCTCCAAATGACGAGGATACTGCCATTCTAGTTGCCGATGGAACTAACGTGTATATCGAGAAAAGTTCCAACTATAAGTTTCAACGCAGATCCTTCTCCATGCACAAACATCGCCCTCTTGTTAAGCCCATGATGCTTGTTAGTACAACAGGCTACATCTTGGAAGTGATGGGGCCGTTTTTAGCAGATGCAAAGAATAATGATGCTGCAATAATTACATCACACATGAAAAACGTTTCGGATGGGCTGAGAGCCTGGTTACTTGAAAAAGATGTGTTGATTGTGGACCGCCGATTCCGGCATTACATTGGCTTTTTAGAGGACTCGGGTCTTGTGGTAAAAATGCCACATTTCTTAAATAACCAAAAGCAGCATATGGCAATCGAGGCAAATGAGTCGAGGCTTGTCACATCTGTTAGATGGGTTGTTGAGGCTTCTAATGGAGTCCTCAAAACTTTCAAAGCCTTAGGGCATGTAATGCCTAATTCCCAAATACCATTTATTGGAGATTACGTGCGAATTGTGTGCAGCATTATCAATGCATTCAGGCCTCCCCGCATATTGGATAGTCATGACGCGCAGACTAGGGCCCGGAGAATGTTAGCCCTTTCTAAACGTGGGAACGAGTTGCAGGCTCAAGTCATTAAAAAAAGAGCGATTTGGAAAAAGATGGACGCAAGGGAACTTGACGACTTCCCGAGATTGACAATGGAAGAGATCGAATTCATGACTTTCAGAAGATACCAGTTGAAACAAGCACAATCTTACACATCTGAGCATCAAGATGAAGGTGGATTATACGAATTGATGATTCACAAGGAAACCTCGGATATACTATGTGTCCAAATCTAAAGCCGTCATTCCGCATCGATAATTCACAATTTATGGATCAAGTGCTTGCTGTTCGGGATCTCGGAATGGTACTGTCAATGTCCAGTAAGAGCAAGAATGGTCCGCTGCTGTGCTCATGTGGCATCAGTTCTGTGGTTTCTTGGTTTTTACTGACATCAAGAAAAAGAGCCCCGAAGATTGTCATCCTCTTATGATGACTGCCTGGAGGCTGCTGCTCACTCATGGTCTGACAAGGATTCAGAATGAGAGGTAAGGGTTTTACACAAAAATTTCTTCTGCTACGATTCATCCGTGACGTATTTTCTGGATGTGATAGTAAACATATTTTGCAAAAAATTAAAATCTATGGTCGTATGGTTCATTTGGTGAGGTATCAAACATGAAAACCGTAAAAGACCGCAAAACACTGGTAAGACATGCGAAAAATGGCATAAGGATGGCGAAAGCTCTGTGTCGGAGTGCATGAAAAGTGGCTAAGGTGAAATGGGAATGTTGAAAGCTCTAGGCCGCATTGCATGAAAAAAGGCATGTTTCTAGTTCTCTGAATGGTTAGAATCTTTCGAAATGACTAAATCGGTAGTACATAGTAGGTTTTCTATAAATGGTAAACTCAAATATATTATCCTCAATAGATATTGTTGAATCTAAAAAATTGATTACTTTAAGTGATAACTGCAGTGAGTTCTATGCCCGGAAAATAGCTAATAATACATAATTAGGATTCATGAACCTCTGCATCAGTCAAACTATCAACAATAAGTCCACAACTAACAATCCATGTACTGGCTTGTATTTTACTTCTTTTTTTATAAAAAAAATCCGTACATACCAGTTAGACTCGTCCATATAATGCATGTTGAGTTTTGTCGCGAATACTGCGTAGTTGCGCGAATGATGACTCCACATTAACGAGTCTTCAGAGACCTCCAAGAGCCTTGCAGAATAGCTACTTGCATCCAAAACATGCAAAATTTTTACCTTAACATAACCTTTCCTGAAAAGTTGAAAAATATTTATTAAAAACGGGAGGGTAATAATTGGTAACCAGAGTACTTCACACAGTCCAATCCATACAGACTGAATGATGGAACAATTTTTTTGGTAATCCTACCAAAGACAATAAGCTCAAAAATATATGTATTAAGTACTTGCAAGACCATGAATTTGATTGACTAATTTGATTGAATTGGATTTGTCACTGGTTCTTCGTGCAATTTGATGAATGTAAGTAACCTTGAGTTAGGATAAAATGAAATTATCCACATCAGAGTTTGGTTTAATATTATTGGAATGTTGGAAAACCTACATATAAAAGCGATTTGAAAGTTCCTTCATCTCCTTCATTGTGGGTATGCAATTTGATATCATGGGATTTGTAATAGTTGACAGAGAAGAAGAACTTTCATGAAATTAAGGTATAATTACATAGCTAAGTGATTTTTCAAAAAGTTTACATCCCACTGTTAACTTGATAGCCCCTCCCCCCCCCAAAAAAAAAATTGTAACCAAACTACCAACTTTTCACTATGGCCACCATCTTGCATACAGTGCAATATTGTTTAATTCCAATGTCAGATTCGTTTTTCCACTTCAAAACACCCCAAATTACTATGTTTCATCGAAATCTGCTTAAAGAGAACCACGATATCATTTTCTGCCATTCCAAACTTTACCCCACTGCTATTTTAAAACGTTGATAGATGGACCGCGTTAAACAGAAAGGAACCAAGTCACATTAGCTATTGCCAAATTTGATCGGGCAATTTAATCTTTTACATGAAAACGGTTGTGCGGATTTTTGTACAAATTTCTGTGAATTTTCTCCATAATACAGAGCCAATTCCCCACAATTTTCAAAGGAATCCGCACAAACGTTCTCTTGTTAAAAATCAAATTCTCCTGTTAAATTTGGCAACAGCTGATGTAGCTTGGTTCCATTCTGTTTAATGCGGTCCAGATAGTAGTATGGTAATTAAAATTTTAATTCTATTTTTATTTCAGTAATTTGGAATTTTTATAATTTAATTGAAATTAGTGTGGATGACCTGCCATTTTCGCAAAAGATTTTCTTTATGAGAGTTTTTTTTAATGTGATATCACATCGGAAATTTGCATATTGCTTCCTGCGCTGTACCCCCTGGGAAGCAAAAGATCACATTTTCCCACAAAAACTATTTCCAATTTTATTTAAGAATGTCTCGTCCAAACCACAAGTCAATATGTGCATCTGTTTTTGAGATATTAAGAATTATTCGTAATTTTGGCATACTACATAGATCTAAATATCCCTCAAATAATCTAAATATATCTAGGTATAATGATACTAGGGGGCTATGCCCCATCAATGGGCCGCTTTGCGGCCCTATTTTTACCCTCCTAGCAGTGTTAGTTTTATTTTTCCCCTAAAAAATTACGATACGAGGTATACTTTAATTTTAAACTTTACTTAAAATTACTTTAAAATTAAAAGGACGCGTTTTGGAATGACTGCTTGATGAAATATTGCAGTAAAACAATGAACAATGATAGTCAGGTAATAATTAAGATTTCATATGTCAGGGATCGAACCCACACTATGTGGAAAGAAGACGCATTCGACGTCTTAGACGACTCGGCCACCGCTCGACAGGAGGTGGTCGCTTCGAATCTTGTGTAGATAAGTGTAGAGCTGATGCGCAGGCTTCATAGCTACTGCGCAACCTCCTCGACTACTGCGCAACCTCCTCGACCACTGCGCATCCTCCCGCGCATAGCGGTAGCAGTACCGGAGCATTCTGTAAACTCACTCACTTTTATAACGTGATTTTAAAAAGACCTGGGTCTTTTTTCCAAAATCCGATTACAGCGGGCTCATCTAGGGCCTATTACCTGTCGATTCACGCAAAAATCATGGAAATCGGCCCGGTAGAACGCTCAAACGAACTATGACAAAAAGTTTACATTTACATTGTTTAAATGGGAGAATTCGCAACTTTACCACGTGATATAAAAAAACCTGGGCCATATGTTGAAAATCTGAAAAGAGTTGGCTTATCTAGAGACAATTGCCCGTCGATAGCCACAAAAATCATGAAAATCGGCCCGGTAAAACGCTGGAACTAAGCGTCACCAGTTCCGCAAAATTAGGAGGTCTTGGAGCTTATAGTATAGATAGGAGCGTCATCGGACCAGCTGATTTTGCTGCTGAGGAGAGTTTTCCACTAACCAAGTGCCATTACCATAAGGGGCGACTAGGATCAAGAGGAGTTGATTGCAGATGAGAAGGATACTAATTTTTCTGTGGCTGCCAAGTATGAATACTGTGAAATGAGGGAAACAAAAAGGACTGAAAGAATTGCAACACTTACATTGGCATCAACCGAGGATGGTCAATATCCTTGATCAGGACGTGGCGTTCAGGGCAGGACAAAGGTGACGGCCAACATTCACCAAACCTTAGAAGGCGGGGACAGATGAGACGGTTCCTCTTCTCTTCCTCCTCTCTTCGGTGAAAGATTGCTTTGGCAACATCTTCCGCAACTTGAGGGACTTCAATCTTTTGCAAAGATCTTTTGATAAATTCCAAAAACTGAAGAAACTCAAAAGAAGTATCAGTGCCTAAGATCACTCCTGTCTTGCAGTAGTTTTGCTCTGAATTCTGAAATAGGAAAACATGTAAAAAATAAAAATGAAAGTGATAAAAAATAAGTCTTTCTTTAATTGTCGTAAAACAAAGAATAAATAAGACAAGATATTCTATTGGTGACATCCTGCCAAGACCTCCCACACAGAATTGAAAGAAAAAAATCTAAAACTTTATAGGGACTTATCCAAACCTAAGTTGAAAGAGCTAGTTACAAAAACGGCATTTCTTGCCCCTCCCTTCTGCAGAGTTCAAGTCAGAACTTTCATACTTGGGTATCATCTGAATGAGGGAAGATACAATGATTACATTAACACTAAAAATCGTCTAAATTGCATGCTTTTATATTCTTGAAAAAAGAATCCCAAGCTTTGATCCTCAGGCTGTGCTTTGTGTATTTATTCCGTTATTGAAAAAAATCAAACAAAACATGAAGACTTAAAGTTTTTAATCCGAACCAAAATCAGTTTTTTAGCTGGCCGTCTTACTCTGAATTAAACGAGTGGTTGTAGGTTCTGGGGAAAATAAAAGCACGGGAATTATGAGGAATTGAAGGCAGGCTACTGACAGCTCCAAATGGACCATGCCTTGCCTCCCCTGCTACCAGGGTGGCAATATTTTAAGAAATTCAAAAACGTGAAATTTCACGTGAAATATTTCGGGAAATTTACGAAATTTATGAAAAATTGAATTAAGATTCTTCGAAATTCACCATTACAATATGAAACTGTTAGAAGACCTCTTAATGCCTCTTTATAACCAACAACAACTGTTTTCTTCACTTTTTTCAATGTATGTAATCAGTTTTTTTCCTCGCACCACTATGGGTAGTGGGTACGTTGGCACATTCCACGGCTGCTTCTAGGACTGGTGGAGGGGTAAGGGTAAGGCAGCAAGGCTCCACCTAATGGCCTACCAAAACTGAGGCTCTCGAGGAGTAGAGTAAAAGATGGGTGGAATTTTTACTAAAATGCTTTTCTTAAAAATGTTTTTTTTTTAGTACAAGATTCAGCAGCTGAGAAGGTATTAGTTGGTTTCTTGATTAGCAATTAGCTGGTGGTTTGCACTTTGCCGCTTGAGAATGGTTTCGAACTGAAATTGAGGAATTCGAAGTGTTCTAAACAAACAAGTTTGAGGTTAGGTTTCCAGTCTAGACTAGGAAAGGGGGGCTAGGGGAGGTATACATTCCAGGCTTTTAGCAGTTGTAGCTGTAAAAGAGGAAGCAATAATGAAGGAAAGGAGCTATACAATGAATATGAATGATACAGAATTTACTCACGAACTTGTAAATTGATTTTTGCTTCAATGTAAAGGATAAAATTAGAAAATTTCACAAATTTAATAGGCTCGTGAAATTTCTTGAAATATTTGAAGGAAATTTCCAATCTTTCATAAGTTTCTTATGGTACACGCCACCCTGCTTGCTCCTCCCACCACATTCCTTGGGCATCGTTAGCAAGGCCACTGATTACTCCAGAAGAAGTGGGGGTCGGAGGTAAAGTATTTGCACTAACGGCGACCCGTGGATTTCAGGTATTTTTGTCCTCTTTTCAAGGGGTGTCAACCTGTCAACTTCACATAGGTAATGAGACCCTCGCGAAAGGGGGAAGGTAGTTTAAAACTAGAAATTTTCAACGTCACTCATGGAAATTTCTCTATACAAGAGTACAATTTATAAGGAAAAAAATAAAAGAAGATGAGTCATAAACTCAAAAGCGAACACACACATGACAAGTTGAAAGTATAAACTTTTCAACCGTGTAATTTAAAAATTTCTCAGTGCTAAATTCTGCAAGAAGACTGTAAAACAAGGTGAGTACCTTTTTAGAGTTCAAAAAGATGGCTAGAAAAGGTGAAAAAGCAATTCAGTGAAAGTAAATGGTACCTCTGCGGTGAGAGAAAGTAACGATTTTCCAAATCAAGGAGAGAAAGGTTTCAAAACATATTCTGGATATCTTACCCCTGTTCAAAGTTCCCTCCTTGAAAGGTTGGAGTACAGCAATGAATCCTTTCTATGCTCCAATCACTCACTCCATCATTTGACTAACAGGTTGTACAATTTGGCAACTACAAAATTCACCACCTCATCTAAAGGTGGTGATCGCCTTGGTGTGTGTTGTGCAATGATTACTTAGCGGTATCACGCCTAGAGAAGATGATTATTTAAGTGATAATATTGTTTCTAGGAACTCTTAATCAAGATGCATTTGGTTTGGTATAACTGTGGATTAAAGAGCTCTCTTGGAAGCAACAGCCACACATTGTAAAATGACAAAAAACAGTGAATCAAGGGTTGGGTAAGCGTATTGTATTCTCTAGTTATTGATTCAATTGCCAAAAATATGATAGAAGGAAACAGCTTACTTTTACTAATCGGTTGGGGATGTGAGCAAAAATAGAAATGTAACGGATAGAAAATGCATGTTTCCTAATTGGAAGATCGAAATGAATCAGGATGTGAGCATCAGCAATCTGCAGATTCACTAAAGCATCGTCTGTGCACACAATGACAGGACATCGAACCCCTTCAAGCTTCCCTCTTAGCATAGATCGACGAGACTTCCCGACTGAAAGAGAAGACACAAAGAAATTATGGACAAAATGACTTAAGTATGACTGGATAAGTGGTCAAGATTCTTCTAAAACACCCCCTTGTGTGGAGAAAGTAAAAATATAAAGAGAGAAACTGAACAGTCTGGTCCCACAGCATGGTTGAGTATAAATCTTTTCCAACTGAAGACGTTTTTAAAAAATCTACTGGGTCATTCCATTGTAACGGGTGTGACAACAATTTAACTTCAAACAAGAATTTGAACTCTTTCTTGGGGTTTAATTAAAAAATTATCTGCAGCAGTAGAAAGAACTTTTTTTATAGATCATTTCAGGTTATCAGAAATTGTTTTTTACTTTGTTCCATTCCTCAGAAAAAATTAAAATGCTGCGTAACGGGTGTGACCGATTTTGGAAGTGAGTTTTTCCTCAGTGAGTGTAAAGTGGAAACTCAGCGAATTTTATGAATGTAAAAATCTGATTAAATTATATGATGAAGCCAAGGGTTTTTGCTTCAACTGCCGATGATCCGTTTTCAATTATCTTTTTTTCTTTCCTTGAAAAATGGGAAAGTTTGCGTAACGGGTGTGACAGATTGTCTCTCTGAGGTCCATCATTTCTGAGAGAGTTTAAAAGTTAAAAAACTTACTTTTCTTCTCATACTCTCATTGTAGGCAATCCTAGGCAGTAAATGAATCCACAATTTGATGCATTTTAATGTAGAACATGCCAAAACTACATTTTTCTACAAGGTGGCCCAGAGCTACCGTTTGCGTTACGGGTGTGACGAAACGGGTGTGACAGATTGTCTCCCTGAGGTCCATCATTTCTGAGAGAGTTTAAAAGTTAAAAAATTGGCCTCCGGCCAATTTATGCGCGGCGCTTCNCGGACACACATTTTTTCAAGTATGGTTATTTTTACTCCTGGGACCTTCAAACGTCTAGAAATGATGAAATTTCAACTTTTTTTTTTTTTTTTTCTTGGAGGATGACAATACTTCCTCTCTACCCTATGGGAGCGAGAAAGTAAAAACTTACTTTTCTTCTCATACTCTTATTGTCGGCAATCCTAAGCAGGAAATCAATCAGCAATTTGACGCATTTTAATGTAGAACATGCCAAAACTACTTTTTTCTACAGGGTGGCCCAGACCTACCACCCCAGGGCTTTTCTTCGGGTAACCCAGGTCGCACGAAGTCCAGGACTGCGGAATTGAACCCCAAAGGAATCGCGACCTTAAGGAATCAGAACTTCCCGGTCCCAGACTCCCTCCGGCTCCCCGTGGGGGGCAAAAGGGGATCTGTACTTCAAAAGTCAAGGTTCAAGTCAACATTTAGAAGTTATTTAATTGGAATCAGGGAGCGCAGAAATTTCCAACTTAAATCAACACCAAGAAATCCAAAATCGGCCCATCCGTGCCCAAAATACTGACCCCCGAAGGTGGGGGACAGAGCCCCCTTTCAAAAAATGCAAGTTCGCGAAATTGACTTATGGGCAACAGACCCCAAAGAATCCGAAATCGAGGGTCCCGTTGTCCAGATAGTCTTCTCTGATGTCGCTCAGGTGGACCCTGAATTTGTAAATTTAATCAGTGGGGGGGGGGGGCCCTCCGACTCTCTCTGAGCCTCATCGAAAAGATTTTTGGTACAATGGGACCCCTCAAATTCGGATTCCTTGGGGTCCAATACCCAAGAAAACCTCCTTTTTTCCGAGTTTCCACGTCCATTTCGCAAACTTTCATTTTTTGAAAGGGTGCCCCGTCCCCCACCCCCAGGGGGTCAGTATTCTGGACACAAATGGGCCGACCTTGGACTTCTTGGTGTCATTTTAAGTTAAAAAGCTGCACACTTTCTGATTTCAATTAAAGAATTACACAATTCTGACACAAACCTTGACTCTTGAAGTACGGACGGCCCATATACCTCCCAAGGGGAGTCGGGGGACTCAGGGACCAAAAAATTCAGATTCCTTAGAGGCGATTCACCATTCCTCCCCGCGGTCCTGGACCTCGCATGACCCAAATTAACCAAAAAAACCCTGGTATGGTAGGTCTGGGCCTATAGTAAAGTGAAAATATTTCAATCAAATCGGAGAGAGTTCAACGAGTTCTATTTGAAATCTTTTTGAGATAAGGTGTAGTCACTTTAAATACTGAAATATGGCAAAAATGTTGGCTATCTCCCTCTTATCAGATGTTTACATAACCTCTAATTGTGCATATGAGTGTATTCCTTGTGATAACCATAGAAAAAATGGTGAGAAGTGAGGCAACATCTGCATAATTGAAGCCTCTTCTCATTAGTCACACCCGTAACATGTCACACCCGTTACGCATTTTTGCGTATCAATCGTTGAAATAAAAATTTGGAAAAAATACTCCAAAGCTGTGCTTGACTTGAATACGTATGGAAAAAATTTGCATCTCAAAATGACATGAATTAAAAAAGTTACATTAAAAAACCCATGTTTTGCGTAAGTAACGGGTGTGACAGTCAGTACACTAAGTTTTAAGAGTTACATATATTATCCAGTAATTACTTTTAAAAATTGGAACTTTGCAGGAGCACATTGAATCAGTTTTTTGACAACTGCAAACACAACCTGAAACTTGCTTTTGACGGGAACACCAGAAAACATTGCTACCAAACTGTCACTCTTTTTACAGTAGGATGAAGCTAAGCAACGGGGTTACAAAACACGTAAAAATTGCGAGAAAAAAAACAAAACGGAGGTAAACCCCATATATTTCCAAAAACTGGGAGTATTGAGGATTCCAAAAATAAATATCGTTGGGTCATTTGGAGGGGGAAAAAAAATACCCCCCCCCCCCCCNCCCCCCCCCCCCCCCGGACTACCTAGGCGAGGAATGACCCTACTTTGAGCAGTTTCAAGCATATCACAATACTTGAAAGCCTAGATTCCTGATATGTGCAGTGACAATACTAGTGTACCTGAGTCCCGCAATTTGGTTATGGCACTAAAAGAGTTGTTTTTGACTTTTGGTAAGATTTATTGCACGGAGCTCGCTGCTGGGAATTTTTTCTTTTTGTCACGAATATTACATTTTGACACTTAAATTGAAATGAAGGGTTAATTATTCGGAGTGAAAAACGTAAAAAAAACCCTTAGACTCATGCGAGAGGGATTCTCTTCATCCCCTCAAAGTTTTGTTTAAATAAATTAAACCTCAGAAAAAAGTATATTGAAAAATAGAGCATCAAGGACATAACACGTTTTGGACTTGCACTTTGCAAGATTGTTTCAAAATTCATCAACCTACCCTCATCAACTTGTGATCCTAATAATCCTAATTGGATGTGCATTTTCTGTGGTCACATCCAATAAATGGGCCTCGAAAATTCTATGCTATTTCAGATATATGGAAGATATTTTTGCAGTTTGGCTGGGCACTGATCGAGAACTGTCCATTTTTCATAATGAGATAAATGAATTACATCCCAATCTCAAATTCAAATTGGAAGTGGGCGGAAAAACTCTGAATTTCCTGGATCTTACCATACGAGTAGAAAACAAAAAGATAAAGTTTGGAATTTATAGGAAAGAATGCTTCACAGATGCAATAATGCCTAATAACTCGTACCACCCCTGGCCCCAGAAAATGGTAGGGTTCCATAGCATGCTTAACAGACTAACAACTATACCACTTGAAAAGGAGGAATATGAGAGGGAGCTAACAACTATCTTCAACATTGCCACTAACAACGGATATCGGAAACGTGACATTTTTCATCTACTACATGGCGAACAACAAGAGAAAAGGTACGGGACGATATATGGGAAAATAAAAACAAAAGGGACCGAAAAGTGGATCTCAATACCATATATCGAGAAAATATTTGAGAGAGTGAAGGGAATAATAGAGAAGGACAAAAACGTGAAGGTAACCTACGGCAACCAGAGAAAGTTGGGCAGAATTTTGATCAATACAAAAGAGAAATGTGAAAAATTGGAAGCAAGCGGTGTGTACAAAATAGAATGTAACTGTGGGAAAATATATAAAGGCCAAACAGGAAGGAGTGTGGCAACAAGGCTGAAGGAACACGTTGACTGTGCCATGCCAAAAAGGAGAGGTCATTCATCGTTTGGGGATCATATAATCGACACTGACCATAAATTGGAAAATTGTTATGCGAAACTGGAAAAAGTATGTCAAAAAGGCCGAAAATTAAATGTATTAGAACAAATCGAAATAATGAAAACACCTAAGGAACAGCTACTTAATTCACAAATCGAGCAACAGGTGGCACCAGTGATCGTCCCCCCCCCCGCCCTCCTACGTGACGCTAGGGTGGTCCAAACTGGGCAACTTCGGAAAATGAACCGTGACTCCCCCTAAATTTGTTCCTTACCATCCAAGTATGATACCTGCCAAATATTTTCGTTCTCTGATAATATTAACACGTGCCGACTTGAGGCTGAAAATCTCCCAAAATATTACATTGATATAAATGGGGCGAAAATGGGCCGATCCGCGGTATTTCGTTTTTCGGCTGTAAAATGCGCCAAAATGCAAATAACTTGCTCTTACCTTACGATGATACCTAGAGGCCTATTGTGAATGAGAAAATCACACATTCGACCCATTGGGTGGGGGGAGGGGGTCACAGCGGAGCCGATTCATAGGCGCTGGGGCGCCGCGTAAAGCATCATGCACTAGTGTGATACGCTCCGGGCAACTTCGGGAAATGGACCGCGTCGCTCCCTAAATTAGTTCCATTTGATCCAAAAACGACGCCGGCCACGTCTTATTTTACTCTCTGATAATCGTTTAGTTCATCGACGAAAGATTTTTCACGTTCTGAAAAGACATCTCGGCACTTATTCGCATTTTCTGCAAGTACCTCGATTGTTCATGAGGATCCTCCACTTTTTTAACACAACGAGAATTGTAATGAACTGGAATTCTCGCTTTGTTCCAGAAAATGATAACTTCCTGGACCACCAGGTCTTCACTGTCGCGTAAACTTAACTGAACTTCTCGTAAATTGAAGAAAAA